ATCTGCCAAGAATATTCTCAACATTCATTTCTTCGTTGCTTCGTGTTTCTTCATCTTTCAGGATATTGTTTGTTTGCTTGTTTAGCGGCATATCAATGCCTTATGGGTTAATTAATGCCAACATTTAATTTTCTTGGAAGCATTAGTAATTTCTTTTACAAGCACGCACCTCTGGTATTTTTTCTTGACAAAAATCTATGGCTGGTAATTTTTTTTTTTCTTATAAAAAAATAGTGCTAGTAATTTTTATTATGAAAAGATATTTTTACACTTTAATAGTGTTTTGACACCAGTTTGGCGGGGTTCAGTATTTACTCACATGAATAGGTACACAAGAAGAATCTATTTTCCATAGAAAATCACCCGGCTGTGATTCAGAGGGGCTTATAAAAAGAAAATCAAGGCTAACCCCATTCACGCAAACCAGGCTCCTCATAGTTACCCACCTTTCGCTAAATCTGTCAATACCAACAGCTTTTTATCAATTCTAATCTTCATCCTGAGCTGATGTTCAAAGAATCTGATGAAATTCCGATGAGAATAACTTTCACATCGCAAGATTTCCTCCATTTGCGTTGTCCAAATCACCATTCATGCCGTGGCCAGCAGCGTCAGAAACACCATCCGATGAACACGAGCTTCCCGGGACCGATACGAGCCATCGACTCGGCAAACTAGTCCCATGGCGGGTGCACACGAAGACAATGGTAGAATACGTGCTAAGCCATTTCCTCTAAGCAGATAACAGTCAGGTAAATCCACCAAGCCCCATTTAAACGCCACGTCATTGAGTGATAGCTGATTCCGAAGCAGTCGGCAGGTAAGCAAAAACTCAGGGTTGATGAGATAATCCGCCGCTGGCGTCAAAGACCAGAAAGAGCACAACTCGGTCGTCAACAAGCCGAAACGGTTGCAGAGCCGATCCTTCGTGACCCCCTCCACTAATTCCCGATACAAGACTCTCCTTGTCCGAGAAAAGTCACTGAACCGAGAAATGACCCTTAAGGCCTATCGACATTCGAGGAGGAAATCCGACTGATCCTGTGGCCTACGATGACACTCAGCCCTAGAAACAGGAGGAGTAATCGTACAACGAGTGAATTCAGCCCTCACACTCCCCTTCAAGATTTCTTCAAGATAAAATTTCTCTGTCAACCCGCTGCGTAGGAAAGCCAACCTCGAGGTATATCGGTTACTCACCAAGTGTGGCATTCCAAGCCCCCATGACACGGACGTTTGGGACACTGTTGACGTGATGATTGCGACTAGCCCATAAGAGAGAGGAGAACAAGCGCTCAATCACCTTCTTACGTTCGTTACAGAGAGGAAGTACTACCAGCTGATAAAGGATTAAATGAAAGACGTAAGTGACACACGCCTCAGCCCCACCCTTCAAAGACAACCGCCATCGGCGCCAAATCTCGGCCGGCGCACCAACCTTTGCCTGTACTTCTAGCAAATTTTCTCTAGCTAGAGTCGGTTCCGAGCCACATCCGAGAATGGGAACGGGCACGTCAGTCTAACCATAGACCCACTTCCAGGCACCTAACCGCCAGCAGAAGACGTCGCAGTTAATCTTGACTCCGGTGACCTTTTCGTAACGTCCAAGGGCCTTCAGAAGCACGTTAATGTCGCTGCGGGACACATCATTGTTGTATGCGGAAACATAGGCTTGAGCCCCATCAGGGGCAGCGATTCCACGTAAGGCCGGACTGTAAACCCTATACCACAGCCGGTGAAGGAGTGGCTCCAACGCCAAAACGTAAAATAGGGGCGACAGTGGCCAACCCTGTCGAAGTGACCGAGACACCGGAAAAAAACGCTTTCTGTTCACCTGCCTCGCAACACTTGGGGAGCGATACGGGAGGCTAATCCACCGGCAGAAGACGGGTTCGAATCCTTTAGCCTGTTGGGCTGCAGCCAGGTGCCGATGGTCGACATTATTAAATGCCTTGAACTGATCGAAATTGATCAGCGCCGCTTGCTCGTCGACTGTTTACACCTTCTAGGATCATGCAGATCAATGCAGGTTCTTTTGAAATGTTCAGCCTTTCACAGAACAAGTCTGCTCGGGTCCCAACAGAATCTCAGAAACTGACTGCAAACCCTCTGAAAGGATTTTGGTCATCATCTTAAACTCTGTGTTTAGTAGAGTTATGGGCTTGTAATTATCTTGTCTTTTTTCAACAGGGTGATCACAACCCTGGAAATGCAGTCAGGAACGGACCCCTGGCGAAACCAGTTGTTGAAAACGGCAGTCAAAATCGGAACAAAGCTGTGTGACAGCCTCAAGTACAATTCATTGGATAAACCATTAAATCCCGAAGACTTGCTACTGCCAACTCTTCAATACCGTGTAAAATTCGCCCTCGCAGTTAGCCGCTTCAGTCGGCCAAAGCTGAGAGAAGTCAGCCAAATAGCTGCGGAACTATTCGTCACAGACCAGGCTTTCTGGTAAACCGGCTCTCGAAATGCCGCCGAAACCCATCGGTCAACATCAAAGTACACGTTCAGAGTATTAATCTCCCGAATATAACGATCGGAACCTCGACGGATCTCTTCCTTGCGCAGTTTAGCGTCCAAACATCCTGTTTAACTTAAGCCTCTACAAAATTGCTTGTCTTGCAATGAAAGCAGACGCCTCTACTGATAACGAACGCGTCAAAACGATTGAAACTCTGCCAGCGGAAAGGCATGCATCTGAAACATCTTTAATATGATGGCCATCTTGTTCATCTTGTAATTTTCCGTTAGTTGATTAATTACTAAGAGGAATTAATCAAACAACAGTATAAATCTTATGGAACTCTCCTGTCATTCTTTTCATTCCCCCGGGCCGGGAAGTTAATAATTTGCTTACGATCCTCATGAATATTTTTTCAGAATGTTCACCTTAAGATTACAGTCATTTGTTATAAAATGTTCTTCAAGTTCCGTTGATTATTGTGTCTGACATGATATCTTTGGACATTGAAACATAAAAAAAAAATAAAAATATAACTTGAAAAAACAGAGATTCCCAACCTCCCCAGTGTGTTTTGGCCTGAGATTTTCATCTCATCTGGGTCAGATTTTTTATAAGTTTTCTAATGCCCATAATGTTTTTTTTTTTTAAATTCTTCCTCCTCCCTTAGAGAGGGAGGGCCTCTAGATTTTGTAGAAAGTCAGAATGGAGCGCAATTTTTGAGGAATGGACGAGTCTTATTAGCATCTTTCTTTTTTCACTTTGTTTTCGGGGTAATCACGCCCTTCCCATCATTTCATAACATTGATAGAATTTTTATACAATTGCAAATATTGATATTTTAAGTCATCGGGATGTTTTTCAGTAGGGGCCCTGTGTGTGTGTGTGTGTGTGTGTGTGTGTGTGTGTGTGTGTGTGTGTGTGTGTGTGTGTGTGAGATATTTGGGTGTATGCAGGAGCGAATGATGACGGACAGAATGCGAAAAATTGTAACGAATAAATAGGTGATGGTCTGATTAGTTTTGTATAAGATAGTTAAAGACGACCAGCATTCACGCAACGCCCCTCTTTTCGGCCTTGTGCCACAATTACTGTATTTAATCAGTATTAAATCTTAGGCAAATATTCTGTTGAAAATTTTAAAGGACTGTGTTTTCCTTTTTTCTTTTCTTTTCTTAAATCGTGCTCTTCTCTCTACTGTTGAAAAATATTGGAAGAGTTACGTCAATCACTTGGTTTAATAATATTAATAATAATAATAATAATAATAATAATAATAATAATAATAGTCATACATTTCTGTGTCCCGTTGGTCAGCCTCGAGAGTAAAAAGAAAGAATATTCACATTGAATTCGTTCACTCGCAGACTAAACACCAGATTTGTGCATTACGTCTAAAAAGAGGATATTTTCTGTATTTAATTATATGTTTCCACCAGGTCATATCTTCGCAGCTAGGAACCGAGTCGATTCATCCACATTTTCTTCATATACCATTAGTAAAGAACAAGTTTCACTCAAACAATTTCTTCCCCAGAACTGTTGCAATATAGAACGGACTCCGGAGGGGATGCTTCCCTAATCACTGCAATCTTAACCACTTCAACTTGATGACCAACCGTTATCTGTCCTATATATCCTCATAATACGCAACCCTTGACACCTCACCATATGCTCTTACACCATCACCATTCAGTAAACCTCTACTTTGAGTGGCACATATTTGGTGAATAATATTAAAAAAATGTGTGTAAGTAAATAAATAGACAATATTCTGTAATTAATAATTAAATTATCTACCTTAATTTTGATTTTATTTTAATAGGAATACAAAGGCCACTTTTAGCATTTATTTGCAAATGATCAGAGTTTTGTCATTAAGTTAATGTATTTTAGTAGTAGTCAAGGAATTCAATTTCAGCTTAAAATATTAATTATAAGTTATAAACGGACATGCAGTATCTAGCTTTTGTTATTATATGGGCAATGTGTTATATTTACCACCGGTTATTTAACGACGTCTGACGACAAACAAGTAAGAACGAAAGCAAATAACTTGTCCTTGTTTAGAAAACAAAGGGGTTTCTGAAAAGTTCCCCAACCAGCTTTCTTTAAATAATGTAAACAATATTTCGTCTGTGTAATAACTGGAAAGAATTTTCCATATTTAGCGCTAATGTCCACCAAATACAAGGACCAAGAACCACTCGTGTAGAGGCATACTGTCTAGTGTTGTATAAGTGTAAGAAAAGACAACAAGTACAACTTATAAAATTGTAAGATTTTTTTTGCGATAATAATGCGTTATATACTCTACCCATTAACACTAACGGATATGTCCCAATCCTCATAAATACTTTGGACAGTATTGTAAGTGGGGGCAATATGCTGTCTAAGTACTCAGCTACTAGCAATGGTTTACCTATTTTACGCCGCTGGTGAGTATTATATTTTATTGATATTATAAAGATTAGCATTTCATTTCCAAGCTCCGTATTAGTTACTCCTCATTCAGTAACATTTTATAGGTTACAAGACTATCTCAGTTTGATTCTATCTATCTATCTATATATCTATCTATCTATCTATCTATCTATCTATCTATCTATTATATACCGTACCTATGAACACTAATGGGTATATCCAATCCCCATAAATACGTTGGACACTATTGTTAGTGGGGGTAGTATGTTGCTAAGTAGTCCACCACTAGCAGTCGTTTACCTTCTCCACGCCGCTGACTTATATTTTATTTTGTTGATGTTATAAAAGATTGCCAATTCATTTACAACCCCTGTTTTGTTTATCCCTCATTCAGTAACCCTTTCTAGGTTACAATATAAGGATATCAATAAAGATGCAGTTCACGTCTCATTGTTTCTGAATCATTGTTTGTCACAGCTATAAAAAAAAAAAACTTTGACTGGAAAGACAGACTTTGCTATACCATCTAAGCTAACCAGACATTAGAATTTATGATAATATTTGAACTGTCTTCTCCTTGATCCAAGATGTCACTAATCTCTTAAAAAGAGAAACAGAAGAGATTATCAGTTGAGAGGATTTGGAGGTACTAATCCATCTAATGTTGGCTCGAAAGAAGAGGTCACTTGTTAACGAAGAGCTGGGCACTTTTATGTGTAGACGAAACGGCCTTTTTTCGAGCAGGTTCAACTAAATCCAATACAAACGAGGCCAATAACACGACCTGTACACATAAGAATATTTTACAAAACTAAATTGTGCTTTTGTTACAATTTAAAACCTTTTGTTCATATAACAAGAGTGAGTGAGTGAGAGATGATAAAGAAATAGACAGGCGTAAGTAAGCAAGACAGAGGGCGAAATGTAAAAGTAAAACATATATATATATATATATATATATATATATATATATATATATATATATATTTCTCTACATACAACGTGTAAAAGCACGTGCGATACCCTACCCTTGTTATCCGATCACCAGGGGGAGGTAACACAGTAGGGCGGTAATAACACCCGTGGACCACCGGCTACATTTCCCACCGGATAGGTTATTGTTTTTGTATATCACCGTTATACATACATATATTAAATATTCTCCATATTAGACATGTTAATCGCACAAATGTCTTCCTTGAACTGGAAGTGAAAAGTTCTGCGTTAAGGGTAATAAAACAATTTAGATTGGATCGAGAAATTGTGAGAAAGATATCTATATTCTTATCTATTAATGAAACCTGTGTGTTCTTAGATCTATTTCCATTATTTGTGTTTTTGTCAGCATGCGTTTGCATATGTATATTCCCTCTCTATTATTACATACATACTGTCATATTATAAGGAATTAGTATACACACATACACACGCACATATACATATATTATACATGCATACACATACACACACTACATATATATATATATATATATATATATATATATATATATATATGTATACATATAGATAGATAGATAGATATGGATAGACAGAGATAGATAGATATGTAGACATCATATATATATATATATGGACAGATTACAATCGATAGATTGATACATAGAATTTGATCGCCACGTGTGTAAGTCACATGACCTAATAAAACGATGATATTAACAAAGATTTAACGGGAAATATAAGGAAAGATCAGCAAGATACAAGAAACTGAAATAGATAGATAGATAGATAGATAGATAGATAGATAGATATGAAAAGACTGAGATAGATATGAACTGTCAGAGATAAATAGATATATTGGAAGCTAGAGAGATTTATGGATAGATATGTCAGGAAGATATAAACTGGTATGGACAGATATGGAGAGAAATAGATAGATAGATAAACCAATAGATCGATAGATAGTTAGGAACAGGCTGATATACCTAGATATGCACAGATCGAGATAGATAGATAGATAGATAGATAGATAGATAGATATGAACAAGCTGAGATACATCTATCTATCTATCTATCTATCTATCTATCTATTTATCTATCTATCTATCTATCTATCTATCTTGATCTGTCCATATCAGTCTATATCTTCCTGACATATCTATCCATAAATCTCTCTAGCTTCTATTTATTTCTGACAGTTCATATTTATCTCAGTCTTTTCATATCTCATATCTATCTATCTATCTATCTATCTATCTATCTATTTCAGTCTATTTCATATCTTTCCTTATATTTCCCGTTAAATCTTTGTTAATATTATCGTTTTATTAGGCAATGTGACTTACAGACGTGGTGGGCAAATTCTATGTATTTACCTATCTATTGCAATCTGTCCATATATATATATATTTGATGTGTATGTATCTCAGATAGATAGATAGATAGATAGATAGATAGATATGAACAAGCTGAGATACCCGGTTAAGGCAGTCGAGAAATTTCAGAGGGAAAATTATCTGGAGATAACTGATAACTGACATCCATTAAGCATGGAACGTGGAACTAGAACAGTCTACCCCAGTGAGCGAAATAAAGGGTTCAGTTCGAAATTCCAACCACCTGAAGAAGCGTACAACGGCCGAAACGTTGTGATAAATATGGCGACAAAGATGTGGACAATAGTCCGAATAATGTAAATAATATAGATAGATAGATATGAACAAGCTGAGATACATAGATATGAACAGATCGAGTAGATAGATAGATAGATAGATAGTATAGTGTCTGTATATTGGACTCTTTTCAAAGTGTCAGCGAGTATGTAGCGATTGTTAATTCCTTTGTGCTTAATAGTGGATAAGATACATCCGGCATCAAAATACTTGCATTTTATGAACATACCCAATACAATACAACGCAACCACACGTAAGTTTGAGAGGTTAAGCTACAAAACAAATCCCTAGTTTAACCAAAATTCTTCTTGTTTACCTAAAGGCAAAACATTTCATTTGCTGTTGAGAGAAATTTGTAGTTTATGTCAAATCCACCTGAATTTAATAAATATCAATGTGAAACAAAGACAATGTACAAAATAGACACCAATGTAAAAGAAACAGACAACGTTGGAGTTTTGCTTGATACCCCAAATCTTTAGCCATTTGTCATACTTGGATACATTTAACAAAGATGACATCGGAAAGAAAGACAGAATGTAAGAAAGAAAGAAAGAAAAGAATGAAGAAAGAAAGAAAAAGTAAAGTGTAAGCAAACGTTGAAGAAGAAGTCTCGGCGTTTCCATAGTTACCGTTATTCTACGAGACTTCCTGCAAAAACCGATTAAAGAATGTATATTTGGTTTTGCGTTTGTCGTCGAAGCGATTGCCAAGAAATATTCTCTGCCGGATATTTAACAACGTCTGACGACAAACAAGGAAGAACGAAAGGAGATAACTTGTCCTTATTCAGGAATACGAGGGGGTTCTGAAAAGTTCCCGAACCAGATTTAAACAATGTAAACGTTATTTCGTCTTTGTCATTGGAAAGACTTTTCTATATTTTGCGCTAATGTCCATTAAATACAAGAACCAAGAGCCACTCGTGTAGAGGCATACTGTCCGGTGTTGTATAAGTGTAAGTATAGACAAGTGCAGCTCATAAAACTGTAAGATTTTTTTTGCGATAATAATGTTTTATATACCCTACCACTGAACACATACGGGTATATAACCCATCTTCATAAATATGTTGGACAGTATTGTAAGTGAGGGGTTATATGTTGACTAAGTAGTCCACCACTAGCAGTGGTTTACCTATTTCATGCCGCTGGCGAGTATTTTATTTTGCTGATGCTATAATGATTACGATTTCATTTCCAACCGCCCCTTTGATTATACTTCATTCAGTAACATTTAGGTTACACCACTATCTATCTATCTATCTATCTATCTATCTATCTATCTATCTATCTATCTATCTCGTTCCATCCGTATCTATCTATCTATCTATCTATCTATATCTATCTATCTATCTATCTATTTCCTTTCTGTGTCTTGTATCAACACATCTTTCCTTATATTTCCCGTTAAATCTTTGTTAATATCATCGTTTTATTAGGCAATGTGACTTACAGACGTGGTGGGCAAATTCTGTGTATCAATCTATCGATTGTATTCTGTCCATATATATATATATATATATATATATATGTGTGTGTGTGTGTGTGTGTGTGTATATATATTTGATGTCTACATATTTATCTCTGTCTATCCATATCTATCTATCTATCTATATATATATATATATATATATATATATATATATATATATATATATATGTGTGTGTGTGTGTGTGTGTGTGTATGTGTATGCATGTATAATATATGTATATGTGCGTGTGTATGTGTGTATCTATCTATCTATCTATCTATCTATATATCTATCTCAGCCTGTTCATATCTATCTATCTATCTATCTCGATCTGTGCATATCTATGTATCTCAGCCTGTTCATGTCTATCTATCTATCTATCTGTTATATACCGTTCCTATGAACACTAACGGGTATGTCCAATCCTCATAAATACATTGGACAGTATTGTAAGTGGTGGCAATATGGTGTCTAAGTAGTCCACCACTATCAGTGGTTTACCTATTTCACGCAGCTGGCGAGTATTATATTTTGTCGATGTTATAAAGATTACCATTTCATTTCCAACCTCCGTTTTAGTTATTCCTCTTTCAATAACCTTCTCTAGGTTACAATGTAATGATTTACTGATAAAATTAATTGACCTATAGTTTGTGGGGTTGGGGAAGAAGTGGATGCATGCCTTCCCCAAGGATATTTGCGTGTAAGTGTATATGACGAACCCTAGTGGAATTCGTACTCAGGTCTTCGAGTTCCATTTCCGAGACATTATTCATTACATCACCTGCACATCCAATCACCTGGTATTCCTAAGCAGTCACTCATCTAGGTACTGTACAGGCCCGACGTTGCTTAAGTTCGGTGATCGTTTGAGAACCGGAGCTTGATAAGCCCGTAAACCTGTAACAAGCACTCTCTCGGGATTCTGTTCCACATAGTGGCCGTTCTTGGAAAGAATCTGTCTAAATAGAACTTTCTTCCTGACCAATGCAATACGAAGAATATGAAGATGATTCGACTTTGTGTCCATGGTAGGGCGAGTCCCAGTTGTAAAGATTAGGGTTGGTGGAACCTTGCTCAGTAGAACACATGCCGTGGAAAAAGCGATACAACAGCAAGAACCTTGCGACATTTCATCTGTGGGAAAGTGGCTGTAGAGTGAAAAATAATTCATCCCTCACAAGGTCGTGTTGACGGAGTTCAAAACTGTCAAGACAGGATGAGATAGCTCCAAACCAGATATAGCAGTATTACTCCGTTTGTTGTCTGATCTGACTCTTTTAAAGAGGATATACGAGAAAACGAGATATGAGTTACACTTGAAAACTGGGGTGGACGTCATTCCCATAGACGTTTACCTTAAGTTGCTTCCTTGAGATAACACCCAGATAGGGGAAAGTTCAGTGTCTGATCCGTGAGGGTGGACACGTTACGAGTTTGTTTTTGACCGTATTGAATTATTTCCCCCACTTGCACCACTAGGGTTAGGACAGACAGGAGATGGTGATCTAGGTATTTGAAAGTGCAACTAGAACCTGCTAATCACTAAAGACTATTCACTATCAAGGCAAGGCTCAAACACAATATATTTTTGATCCTCAAAATCTTCACTTCGTATCAGGCACCTCATTCCCTATTAGCATTACGACCCATGGAATTGAACTCACAATTACAATGTCACCAAATTCACGAATCAACACTTTAAACTATTAGCTTCTTGTGAGTTCAATCCCCGGACCGCGCAGTGAGTTTGGTTTGGTTAGTTTTACGGCATATCAGCCTCAATGGGTTATTTACTGTCGGCAAATATTTTTTTGATGGTAATATTTTTTTTCCTTCACAAATCTATTTTTCGTAATATTTTTTTCTTCAAAAATGTATTGCTGGCAATAATTTTTTTTACAAAAAAGTATTTCTGGTATTAAAATCTATTTTTACACTTTCATAGTTGTTTGACCCCAGTTTGGGGCTTAACTATTTACCCATATCTTGGACCCTAACTGGTGCTAGAACTCAGGGTCAGGGTGGACCTGGGAACACCAGCAATTAAGAGGTGGTTCTATGCTCCTCAAAACTTTCTGATCAGAGGCCTTGCCGTTGGAGATAGTTTATCGTCTTACCCAGGGCGCGGATGTAGTTTATCGTCTTACCCTGGACGCGGATGTAGTTTATCATCTTACCTAGGACGCGGATGTAGTTTATCGTCTTACCTAGGAAGCGGATGGAGTTTATCGTCATACCCAGGACGCGGAAGTAGTTTATCGTCTTACCCTGGACGCGGATGTAGTTTATCATCTTACCTAGGACGCGGATGTAGTTTATCATCTTACCCAGGACGCGGATGTAGTTTATCGTCATACCCAGGACGGCGCGCAGTGTGTATCTGTACTCAGTGAAAACAGCAGTACTAAAAAATGAGATCTCCCTAGACATGGAACAGTCTAGAAAACTGTCTACCCATGTAGTTTAAATAAAGGATTTAGTTCGGAATTTCAGATAGGTTACGCATATCGACCCATACCTGATGAAGATCGGAGAGCACAATGGGTGAAACATTGTGATAACAAAAAAACACGAAGGAAATAGTCCACATTTAAATAGTGTAAATAACCTTTGGAACGACTTCTCACGTCTAATGAAACATGGTTGCATTCCATGGGTGTGATTGGTTTCTCAGTAGTCGAAGAATTTCAAAATACATGAAATATTTTTGAGGAGAATTAATGAATGTTTATTTTTTAAAAGAGGCAAAATTTGGTGTAGATTACGAATGTAAGACTTCAAGCAGGTCGGTCCTTGGTCAAGGCTGCCGCTAGCCGTTGTAGTTGGTCGTTCTGATCTACGGCACGCTCCGCTCCGCCCGACGTTGTGCTGATTGATCAAGGAGGTCAAAGATCGAATTTTAGTCAGAAACTTTAGCGTTGGTTCGATCCCGGCGAAGCTAAGTCACAAAAGAAAAATAAAAAAAACATTCTTGCAGACGAAATTTTATAAAAAATGTTATTTCTTCAGGGTCTATTTCGATACAGTTTATATCGTTCTTTGTTCAGAAATATTGACCCTTCACACTTTGAAATCTATCATGACCCTTTGCAATTTAGCTATGTCTGAAACAAGGCTTAAGTCGGGTGTTCTCTTTGGCAGCAAGTCAAGTGGGATTTTGCAGCTTCTCCTACAGTCTGCTCTCTTCTGCGTCTCCGGCTGTCGACTCTGCTTATTCTGATTGGCATGGCGTTGACGTAATTAGAGGACCTGGTGTTTCCTCTCTCTTCCGACAAGTGTTATTTATTGTCTGGCTTTGGAAAATTAATGCGCTTTATATCGTTCTTTGTTCAGAAATATTGACTCTTCATACTTTGAATTCTATCATGACCCTTTGCAATTTAGCTATGTCTGAAACAAGGCTTAAGTCGGGAGTTCCCTTTGGCAGCAAGTCACGTGGGATTTGGCAGCTTCTCCTACAGTCTGCTCTCGTCTGCGTCTCCGGCCGTCGACTCTGCTTATTTTGACTGGCATGGGGTTGACATGATTAGAGGACCTGGTGTTTCCCCTATCTTCCTACAAGTGTTATTTATTGTCTGGCTTTGGAAAATTAATTAACTTGGAGATCGCTATTTCTACGACTAGTGGTTGCAGGTGCTGCCCGCCCGTATAACACTTCTCTTATTTCTGCTTCGTACCATCATTTCCCAATAGTCATAGGCAATTCCTCCGTCTTTCTTGGTGACTCACCTACGCTTGTCACCTCGGTTGTCATTTTGACAAATCTGGGTTTCAAACCGAATGCCGTGGCTTATCTTCTGGTCATTACTTAGAATTATCATTTTAATTTCTCGTCATCAAGTTTTTCCCAGCCAGGTCTTGTTCATACAACCGGGAATTTACTAGCTGTTTTCCCTTTCTTGTTAAGGTTATCGCATTTTGAGTTACCCTGTGGTGGGACTTTACATAAAGAAATTCTATTTCTCGACTTGTTTAAAAATTTCCCTTTTTGATAGGTGGAAAAATCATCTTGCCTGTTTAGCCTTCGTCCCTAAAATTACTATATATTATATCTCAGTTGACCTCTTTCGCAATCAGGAGACGTGTTTTCATAACTTCCAATTTAAGCAGCGCCATCAATTATATGTCAGCCTAACCTCCTCTAGACGGTCTTCTTGTTAATATAAAAAAACAAAGTCGTTTTCTTTAACCCGCGTTTGCTTAAAAATAAACTTTCAAATGAAAAGCAATTGTAGTTTTTCTCTCAGTCTATCTATCGTTCTTTTTTTATTTTTTTTTTAACTATTTTCGTCTTGTTTCAAGTTAGATTTTTGTTTAACCATTTTCTTTCTGTTTTTGTTTAACAATTTTCTTTCCTTCCACCCACAAGAGGACAGACTGGGTCTTTTAGCCTTGGGTGACTGTTGTAGAGTAGTTTTCACAGTGGAGGCTTGTATTTCAATAAGTCGTCCTAAATTAGGTTCAATGTACAAAACGTTAGGAACTTGAAATAAGAGTTAATGACGCAGCAATCTAGTTGTGATGGTTGGTACTTCAATGTCCGATATCGACTGACTCGCTCAACACCACTGAGCCCAACTGGCCACTGCTACTACTACTTATTATCTGTGGGAGAGTCTATTACAATAGAATAGGTATTATGGTATAACAGTGACGAATCCCTATTCTCTCTCCTTCCATATCAGGACAGACTGGGTCTTTTAGCCTTAGATGACGGATCCCTATTCTTCCTCCCCTACGGCATAACAGAACAAAATGTGTCCAATAACCTTAGGTGGCGATTCCCTATTCTACATTCCCTAATGGCAGGTAAAACTTTGTCATATAGTCTTGTGTTGCGAATCTTTATTCTCCCACCCAAACCTATAACACGAGGTAATTGGTCTTATAGCCTGGGGCGGTGGATACCTATTCACTCTCCCCACATTACTGGACAAACTTGGATGGTTAATCTCTATTCTCCCAACCCCATAACAGGACAGATTGGGTCCTTAGCATTGGGGACGAAAACCTATTATCCCCCCTACTTAACAGGTCAGACTAGGTCTTATAGCCTTGGGTTGTGAATCTCTATTCTACTGCCTCTTTCCATAACATATGGTGTCACAACGACGTTCACTAGGTGGCTGATTAAAAGAGACGTTGAATGAAAAATGCTGAAGGAAAAATCTCTTTTTAGCAGGACAATAGATGTCAACGGTCCAGACGATTGAAAATTGAAAGTATTTTATCTTTGGCTATCTTTGACGATTTTCTGTCGCTAACACATAAAAGGTGTTTAGAATGGATGGTTGCAACGTGTGATTGCAACAACAAGGTAATATTTCAGTGAACAATTTGTGAACATTTATGGGAGGGTGGTGTTAGTTTTGATTCTATGTGAGGGTCTCTGGCGGCAATACTCCTATCTGCAAAATTTCATGGAGGAAAAATTTCTTCAGTCTTTAATGGTCGAAATGTTTTTCTTTCTTTAAAAACACCCCGCCCCACGCACACGCACGTTGGCACAGACAGAGCGAAAATTATTCCAGTATGATATATATATATATATATATATATATATATATATATATATATATATATTGATTTTACTTGGTTTCCGAGGGAAAAAAAGCTAAAAAACAAAACGTGCACACATCTTTTTCTTTTTCTTTGATATTACTTTAACTCAAACAGACTAGAAGCTTGGCTCCGAAACAAACTCCAGTTCTAAAAAGAATTCAAAAATTAAATCGATTTTTTTCTCTGTTTACAGACCAGAATATAATTTACGCTTGTTTTCCTTCAAATGCAAAACTACTTAACACACACAAACATGCAGTCACAACAGAACCGCTTTGCCTGATAAAATTTCTTCTTGATTGTACCTTTTTCTTTTCACTAT